TGTAGAATAACATCCCTCTATATATATATATATATACTTTTTAAAAATGACAAAAAGTAGGGTATTTTGGTCTTTTTTTTCTTGAGTTAACTGGGCTAACGAATTCTATTAGTGATAGGGACCATACGCATGAAAAAACGACAACCACAAGGACCAAATTCATAATAAACTGAGTTTAAGGACGTTAGTAATAATTTTCCACATGCCACAAGGACCAAATCCTTAATTCACTCAAGAATCAAATAAACATCAATCAAGAATGAGTAAGGGCTCGTTTATCAAACACTTATCCGGTAAACGTTTATCGGTGAAGTTTAATATTATCATTTACTTATCGGGTAAGATTTTAGTCCACTAAAACGGTTTCGTATGCAATAATTTACCCGATAAGCACTTACTATGATAAGAGTCGTCGTCGCTCTCGCTTACCAGGTAAGACTCTTGGTCCTTGTCTTGCTCTTACCGGGTAAGATTCTTGGTCCTTACCATATTCATCCAGTAAAATAATGTGACTTGGTGTTTACTTACCCAAGTAAGCGTTTGATAAACGGCCCCTAAATTCATTCTATGTGTTATACAAACACTAATTCTTAGTTAGCCCATTGATGCCACACATTATATACATGGCCCCAAGTCAAGTGGGGAATGACTGATTAATAAGTATTGTGTGTACAAGTGAAAGACTATATCTAACATTAACGTACGCTTCAACGGTATATATAATTAAAAAAAGAAGCCTAACGTAATTTTTAAGCCTAAGGTCTTGTCTTTATGCGCAATTATATCAAAGAGCGTCGGCCTGTCGATATAAATAATGTGAGTCAAGCTTACAGTATTGGTATATTCAATTCGAACTCGATTTTCGTTTCTTAGACTTGAACTCGTATAAAAAACTGCAGGTAGTTAAAATCCAAACTTGACTTGAACTCGTTTGAAGCTCAAATCAAGCCCGAGCTCGAATTTGAATCAAAGCTCTAACTTGAGCTCGTTTGAAGCTCGAATCAAACCTCGAACCGAACTTATCCATTAACATTTATGGAATTTAAGGGTATATTCTAATAATATAAAACTTAAAAATGTAATTATAAAACTTAGAGACGTACTCAATTAACTCCAATTATCTTTCTATATTTTTATAACACCTCTTCATCCTTAATTTACGATCTTTCTTGTAACGTAAGATAAGTTCATCAACATTTTTGTTGTTTTTTTTCCGCCACTTTTGTTACGATTTTGATAAATAAAAAATAATCGATTAAATTTTATAGTTTAAAGATGTATAATTCTGTTCGAATATCTAAAAATATACTACATTTTTCTTGTGTAAGTAAGTTTGTTAATAAGTTTTTACATTATATTTTACAAATTTTTATATAAAACTAATTATATAAAAAAATTGAGTGTCTCGTGAGCTTTTCAAGCCGGGTATCGGGTACCTCAACTCGATTCATTAGTATGACGAGTCGAGCTCGAGTTCAAGTAGAGTACTGGGTTGCTCGACTCGACTCCTAAGTATGTCGAGTCAAGTGTTGACCGAGTTCTGACCAATTAAATCTCGAGTAACTTCCAAGTTGTTTCGTCTCACATTTCCAATTGGGCCTATGCCCTAGTGGGAAGCATGTACAGAAATATTTGACAAGCATTCACTTTTTACTTTGTAAGTTTATTGTTGGTATGGAAGTGCTTTTAAGTAGAGTTGTACATGAATTATGCTTACAAAAAATGTCGGCCTGATAAAAACTGTTCAATGCACTTAGGGAAAAAACGAACTAGTTTAGACCGGCTCAAGACCGGAGCACTAGACTCGTTGCCCATATGCAAGACCGATCCATCTTCCACCGGTTCGATCACCAGGCTATATCATCATCCTGTACATAAAATGTATAGGAAATTAATGGTACATAATTCTTACTCACATTATTAGAAAAGATCGAATTTTGACCTTGATTTGGGGGTTGGTCGTTCGACCCTTGTCCCGCCCCGCTCGTACTTGCTTTGTTTATGTTACCTTTTCCCATTCGACAATCTCTCTTGAAATGTCCGGTTCGGCAACATATCCAACAAGTCATTTTCGACTTTTGTTGGGTCCATTTTTGGGGTTCTCGAACATTCATTTCTTACCCTTATCGAACCTTTTCTTGGTCGTGTGTTTACGCTCCTTGACCTTGTTGACCTTGGATGAACTAGGGACATCTTTACCCTTGGCCTTGCCACTTTCTTGCACACTTGGTGATTCCTCGAAAATGGCTCGAGTTGCACCAAGGAAAGTTCTTCCCTTTTGTGTTTAAGTGTGTGTTTGAAATCTTTCCACGAAGATCGCAACTTGTCAGTTTACACTTGACACTGATATGGATTCATCCATATTCATATGGTTTTGAGTAAATTGACCAAGGATCTGGAGCAATTAATTATATTGCTCCATTACAGGTCTGGAATCTAACACCTTGTAAACGTCAAAATTACTTACGAGGAACTTCCTACTCAAAGCATTCTCGGCCATGTATTTCGATTCCAAGGCATCCCATAATTCCTTGGAGGATTCTACATTCTGGTACACATCAAATAAAGCATCAGACATACCGTTAATAATATGCCCACGACTATGCAGTCATCGTTCTCCCAGTTGTTCCTTCGTCTCATGACCTCCAGAGTTGAGTCTTCAACGATCTCGGTCATGGGCGTGATAAGAACATACACGACCTTCAAAGTAGTGAGAAGGAAATGCATCTTCTTTTGCCACCGATAGAAATCATTGCCTTGAAACTTCTCCAACTTGCAAATTTTGACGTCATATCACGAACCGACTCCTCTCGATTTGCTATCGTAAATCAAGACAAAAATTATTTTATTCGAATGTTAGGGACTGTGTATAAAGGAATGATTTATGGACCGGATAGAACTCAAGAATCGTGTCGAAAAACACTTTCTGAATACAATAATTCGACCCTTTATTTGCCTTTGGTTCACGAATTTCGTATTAGGATAATTCTTACGTCTTTCATCATATTTCAAAGGCTGTGAAAAATGATATATTTACCTAGATTCTCGTTTTTACAAATTTATAAGATAGATCGATGGTTATACGCGGTTATTGGCGGTTGAACGGTTACAATTATTAATGAATAAGGTCAAAAGGTAGTTGCAACCGAATTTCAAGTTCTGGAAAATTGCATCTTCAGCAATAGCAAATGATAAGCTGTCAGCAATAGCTGAAGGCTCACTAAAACAAAATTGAGTTTATAGGAAGCCACCAATTTCAAAGCGTCCTATTAGACTACTTTATAGGATTCAAATTATAGGAGCAAAAAATAAAAGATGATATCTCAAGACGTTGTAATAAGTTTATAAAACACTTTTGGACGTCTTAACAAGTTTTATAGGACACTTTTGAAAAATTGTCCTATAAACCCATTATTTATAGAACAATTGCTTTTATAAGACACTTTTTCAAATATTGTCATATAAAATAGCTAATGAGACGCTTTCAGTTAAAATGTCATATAAAACTTGTTAAGACGTTCAAAAGTGTCCTATAAACTTATTACACTCAATTTTGTAAGTGTTGCTTACTATTTGTCGTTATATATTCCCTGATTGGAAAAATATTTACCGTTTTAGCGGTCGATTGGATTTCCCTCATCGGCAAATTAGGGTTTTTGTCGTATGGTTGAAGATGCTCTAAGTTAGTGGGTTCAATTGTCTCGGATCGTACTTTGTTATAAGAATTTACAACATCAAATATTGTTGTTATTTCCATTAATCCTTCAAAATGTTTTCAAACCGTTTTTATGGAAAAATTCTGAGCATCATGTGTTATTGAATATTGGATCCCTTTTGTTCATATAAATCTACATGTTTGAGCTTTCTTTGCCAACCCACGTAGTCTAATGCATTTAATTATGTGATTTGATGTAATCTTCCCTAATCAGTTGTAATTTTATGTTTTGTTTTAGAGTAAATTACAATCTTTTTCTTGATAGATTGTCAAAAACAACACTTTTTGTACTTCAGTTTTGAAAATATAAGATGACCGTCCAGATTTGATCCCTTTCTTTAACGGTCGTTAAAAATTCCGTTAAATTAAAAGCATTTTCGTTTTTTTTAATCGGTTTTTTCCCTTTTTTACCCGATCAAAAACCACATGGATCAAATAAAAAATTATTTACAATTTTATTGATAAAATGGCAAAATGCTTCTTATTTAAGGAACTTTTTAACGATCGTTAGAGGTAGGGGTGCTCAAAAACCCGATGAACCTGACCAACCCAACCCGAATTTAAAAAAAAAACCCAATCCGAGGTTACCCGATACATGATCGATAAAAAATTAGCCAACCCGACCTTATTGGGTTGGAATCGGGTCAGGCCCAAAAAAACCCGACCAACCCGATGAACCCGACCTTATCTTTATCTTTGAATTGTAGATGACAATCATGACATGACCAACCTCAACGTCAAGAAAGCGAAAGCATCGGGGTTGGAAACGTTTAAAACTATTGTTGTTGATTGATGTATTATTATTTGGTTTGAACATTTTTATTGTAATATCTAAATATTTGATGAACTTGCATATTATCTTGAATGGTCGGTCGTATTTCAAATAAAAGTTTCCTTTATTTTTATGTGATTTTACATTGTTTAAACACAACCCGATCAACCCGAACGGGTTGGGTTGAACTTTCGTTTGGGTTGAGTTGGGTTGAAAATTTTCAAACCGCCAACATTGAGTTGGGTAGTTAAAACGGCTCCAAACCGATCAACCCGGGCCGTGAGCACCCCTAGTTAGAGGGAGGAAACAAATCCAAACGTTTTTTAAATCACAATGGCTATCTTGTAATCTTAAAACTATATAAAATATGGACCATAAATTCTATCTCTAAACCCCTTTTGCTTCATCTGCTCATTTCAATCAAAGTTTAAGGATTTATGATGAAAAATGTGAAACCTCGATGAGATAGAAGCGGGAACATGACAAATATTAATTTATGATATATATTTCATCATGAACGATGAGATCCACAGACCACAAAAGCTCAACTCAACCCCTTTTGCTTCATCTGCTCATTTCAATCTCTTCCTCACTTTGAATTCAAACCCCAAAGAGATATTGAAAGACACAATCATTCCATTGTTTGCAATGGCTGAAATCATTCTGGGTGCAGTCATGGATGTGTTGTTTCAGAAGTTAGCCTCAGGTGACTTGATGAAGCTGGCTCGATCTGAAGGTATCCATTCCCAGCTGGACAAGTGGAACAACACGTTGCTCCAGATCCAAGCTCTACTTGTTGATGCAGCCAACAAGCACATARCAGATRGAGCTRTTGATTTCTGGCTGCGTAATCTCCAGGATTTGGCTTACCAAATAGACGATATACTCGATGATTTGGCCACAGAAGCTATCCGCCGCAAATTGAATAAAGATTCTCATGCCASCTCCAGCACCAACACAGGTAAGCTACGGAAGCTAATCCCAGGTTGTTGTACTAATTTCACCCCTCATACCATTGTTTATGGTCATAAGATGAGCTCAAAGCTAGATGAGATTACGACCAAATTGCACACTCTTTTTGATCAGAAACATAATCTAGGCTTGGATGTGAATGTTAAAAGGCCAAACAGAAGAAATAGGAGGTTGGAGGAAACTTCACTTGTTGATGAGTCCAAAGTTATGGGTAGGGAAGGGGATAAAGAGGCATTGCTTCACAGGTTGTTGGGGAACGAAGCATGTAATCAAAATGTTAGCATCTTGTCTGTAGTTGGTCTCGGTGGGATTGGCAAAACCACACTTGCCAAGCTTGTGTACAATGAAAAGAAGGTTCAGGATCACTTTGAGCTCCGGGCATGGGTTTGTGTTTCTGAAGAGTTTGATGTATTTAATATCAGCAAGGCTATTTTTCAAGCTGTAGCCGGGACGAATCAAGAATTTGCTAAYCTAGATCTGCTTCATGTGGCTCTTAAAGAAAGACTTTCCAACAAAAGGTTCCTAGTTGTTCTAGACGACGTCTGGAACGAAGACTATAGAGAGTGGGAACTCCTCCAAAGCCCTTTTGTTGTAGGGGCACCTGGAAGTAAAGTTATTGTGACGACCCGGAAGACGAAGGTTGCATCGGTCATGAACTCTTTTCAGCCTTATGATCTCAAGGTTTTGTCAGAAGAAGAGGCGATGTCTTTATTTGCTCAATATGCAATAGACGAACAAAACTTTGACAAGCATCCAACACTTAAATTGCATGGTGAAGGCATTGTGAAGAAATGTGGCAGATTGCCATTGGCTTTGATAACGCTTGGAAGGATGTTGAGGACAAAAATAGAGGATGATGAATGGGAGGAGGTGTTGAACAGTGAGATATGGAATTTGGACGATGGAAGAGAGATTCTTCCGGCTCTGAGATTAAGCTACTATGACCTCCCTTCACATTTGAAGCAATTGTTTGCATATTGCTCCTTATTTCCCAAGGACTACGTGTTTGACAAGAACGAGCTCGTCTTATTGTGGATGGCAGAAGGGTTCTTGAACCAATCAAATGGAAGGAAATCGAAGGAGAGTTTGGGTCGTGAGTATTTTGAAGAGCTAAAGTCAAGGTCCTTTTTTCAGACGTCAACTATTGAGCAATCGGAATACATAATGCATGACTTGATTAATGACTTGGCCACGAGTGTTGCTGGAGAGTTTTTCTTTAGGTTGGATGATAAAATGGACTCGTATGACGTGAATGAATCTTTCGAAAAGTTCCGTCATGTTTCACTTATAGGTCCAGAATATGGAACATATAGAAAGTTCAAGGAATTACAAAGAGCTAGAGGCTTGCGAACGTTCTTACCTGTTTCTTATTCCTGGTCATGTTTCAACTTCCCGAACAAGGTTCTTGCCGAATTACTTCCCCAACTACAGTTCTTAAAGGTGCTAAGCCTAAGTGATCATTGGATCACTGAGATACCACATTCCATTGGTAGTCTCAAGCATATTCGATACCTCAATTTTTCCAAAACTTTCATCGAACGGTTACCGGAACAAGTCAGTGACCTCTATAATCTACAAAGCTTGTTGGTTCGTGGTTGTGCGCAGTTATCTAACTTGCCCATCAGTTTTGTTAAGTTGATAAACCTACGACATCTTGACATCAGCGATACTCCAATGTTGAACAAGATGCCCTTGGGTATCGGTGGGTTGACAGGTCTACAAACTCTAACTAAGGTCATTATTGAAGGAGGTAATGGGTTTAAAATTTCGGAGCTTAAGGGTCTGTCGGATCTTGAAGGTCGGCTTTCCATTAAGGGGCTTGATAAAGTGACAAGTCCAATCCAAGCAAATGATGCCAAGTTGCAAGAAAAGAAGGGTCTTGATGATTTGGTGATGGAATGGAGTGATGACTTTGATAATTCTCGGAATCATACAAGTGAATATGAAGTACTTGAAGGGCTAAGGCCTCATTATAAGTTGAGACAGCTTGAGATTTTGTTCTATGGGGGAATGAAATTTCCTAGTTGGGTCGGGAATCCCTCGTTTGATCGGTTAACAGAACTTACATTACGTGGTTGTAGAAGGTGTACATGTTTACCAGCACTTGGACATCTACAGTCGCTTAAGGAGTTGTTTGTGGACGGCATGGATGGGGTAAAGACTTTGGGTTTGGAACTGTTTGAACCTACTGATTCTTTCGATGGTATTGTATTTCCATCACTTGAAACTTTGAAATTTAATGATATGAAAGGTTGGGAGAGGTGGTCAACTAGACGTGGGGACAATGATGGAATTGCTAGATCATTTCCTCGTCTTGTTAATGTTTCTATAAGAGATTGTCCAAAACTAGTCGAAATCTCAATTGATTTAATACCGTCACTTGGGGATTTACATATAGAAGGATGTTCAAAAGATGTATTTAAAAGCATGGTTGGTGTGTCTTCATCAATTCGTGTGTTGAAAATACAGAATATTGAAGGACTTGCTCAACTAAATGGAGAGCTTCTTGGAGCAGTTGAAGATCTAAGCATCAGTAAATGTGATGAATTGAGATATTTGTGTCAATCAGAGGCGGAGGCATGCAAGTTTCTTGTGAGTTTAAGGAAGTTGGAAATAAGTCTTTGTAAAAGGTTGGTATCATTGCCCGCGCTCCCATCCTCTCTAGAGGCTCTTTCGGTTCTTCATTGTGATAACTTAGAATCCATTTCAGATAAAGGTTTTGGAATTATTCCCCTGGAACATCTTCGTATTGTTAATTGTAAGAATCTGAAGTTATTTCCTCATGAGCATTTGGGAAGTCTCACATCTTTGGAGGAGCTGCAGATATCTCATTGTCCAAGTATGGATTACTCATTTCCTTGTGGGTTGTGGCCTCCTAATTTGAGACGCCTAATGATAGGATCCTTAAATAAGCCTATGTCAAAATGGGGGATTCAAAAATACCCAACATCACTTGTTCATCTCACCTTATTCGGAAAAAATTCAGGAGCAGTTTCATTTGTTGCAAATGCAAAAGATGTGACTTCAACATCGTTTCTTCTTCCACCATCTCTAATGACTCTACGGATCTTTGATTTTATGGAGCTGGAATTAGTTTCGGAGGCCTTACAACACCTCCCCTGCCTTGAGATCCTTGATATCTACTCATGCCCGAAAGTTGAAGATCTACGGGAGACAAATACTACGGGTCCACCCTCTTTGAGAATTATTGTGCATCAGTAGAAAAGGCAACTACAAACTGGCTAGCGGCTGATCATTTCTCAAATCCTGTGAATTATTTGATCATGTACGTCATCTCTGTCTCTTATGGAATCTTAAAAAAAAGATGGTTTTTTTTTGTGTAATGCAATCACGTGAGACCAGGTTGTTTTCGTGAAACCACTTTTATACACTTGGTGAAGGTTCGGATTTTTTTTACCTTCACAGTGTTTTGTTGTGAAATTTCAATTGTAAAAAAGTGGTCTCACGAAAACAGTGTGGCCTGAAATTTCAATTGGTTGAGGTGAAGACAGCGAACATAAGTGTTGATATGTAAAAATATTTTCATCTTTTGCAAACACAATTTTTTTCGTTTTCCGGTATTTATTTGTGTGTCGATAATTCAATATTATCTATTTATTACATGTATAGACTTGAATCAAGTGATGGGACTGTGGAAATGATTATAATAGTGTAATTTATATAAAATAATGATGTAAAATGAAAAAAGAAATAAAGTAAATGATATAAAATATAATAAAAAAATAATTAGAGGCGTAGTCGAGTAATGCAGCGAGAAACATTTCAAGTTTAATTTTTGGTTTATTAATACGGTTTTGAGAAAGTGATAATGTTTTTATATTTAAATAAAATATAAATTTGAAGATTCACAAAAAAATTTATGAACATTAATATCAAATTAACAATTTAAAAGTTCTTGTTTTTTGTATCATTTTTTTAGTATAATTTAATTTAGATTTAGTAAGGATGTGATTCAGAGTTAAGACTTAGAGTTCAGAGTTAGAAACTCTGAAGACTTATACTTTAGAGTTAAGACTTATAGTTCATGGTTAGAAAATCTGAAGACTTATACTTTAGAGTTAAGACTTACAATTCAGAGTTATAAAGTTTGAAGACTTATACTTCAGAGTTAAGACTTACAGTTCACAGTTATAAAGTCTGAAGACTTGTACTTCAGAATTAAGACTTATAGTTTAGAGTTAGACAGTCTGAAGACTTAGTGAGATCTTCTAGTCCAAAGATGTGAAGATAGGTCTTGCGAACATTCCAGTTCAGATCTGCAGGTTTCCTTTCTTAGTCCAAATACAATACAAGATATTGCTTACATATTATTTTGGTCCTAACATGATTGATGGGTGATCAGTCATAAGCTTGGTGAATTGTTGTAATTCAAATATGTTATTACAATGCTTTATGTTATGTTGTCTTAGTACTTCATGAACTCACTTAGCTTTGTTAAGCTAACCCATATTGTGTATCTCAGGAGGCACTCATGTAGGGACCAGCAAAGGGAAATAGTCAGCATAGTTCGTTGGCTAGTTCACTAGGTTGCTTTTGTTATTATTTGCTATATTAAATAGTCCGGTATGGGACGGACTAGTAGATTGACTCTTGTTATTTAGTTTAGAATTCCGCTTTTAAACTTAAGTTTGATGGATCTAACGTTTGGCATTAGTCTTTCATTGTATTTGATGATGAGATTTTTAGTTTATTCCGTTTTTAGCATTATTGTTGTCTATTTTCTACAACACCTTCCAGGGTCTTGGGAGGGTGTTACACACCACGAGAGAAGCAACAAGCAGTCGGAGATTATTGAAGAAGACCAAATCGAGAATCAGATTCAGGTTGCAGAGGATATTTTAATTTTTGAACATGCCAGGTAAACAAACAGATGGTTTTTATTTGGCCATTTTAGATTTTGTTTAGTACTTGAAGTTGCATGTGAATATTTGTTTCAACATGGTTTTCAATGGAGATTGCTTGGAAATGTCAACTGATGCTTTGAATCATATTAATTATTTGCATCATACATGTTTAGTCTATTTGAACAGATGCTTTGAATTAGTGGATTTGATGAACGAGTAGAATATGAAACAGTTGTATATATGGAAATTTCATATGATATATACATAAAGGGCTAAAGTGTTTGGTGTTTGGTGTGTTTGAAACTTGAAATGTTTCATATGGGCTAAAGTGTGTATAATTTTTGAGTGTTGATTGTCTGCTGCTGTAACTGTAGAGCATTGTCTTAAATCTGAACACAATAACAACCTTGTTTTTATTGTCATAAATAGCAGCCTCTTTGTGTTCAACAGATCCTAGAGTAGTGTGTAAGGCAGCTGAAGCAGTAGATTAAAACTTACAACAACACATTGTTGCAGAAGATTCCATATTTTGATCGTCTCCTCAGTAATTATTGGATATGCAATCTATCGTTATAAACAAACCGATAACATCCACCCTTCTAAATATGCTGAAGCAGTGATTCTAAATATGTATTATATGTTAAAACATACTTTAAGTGTTAATTGTTTAAAAAGAGAATCAGGCAAGTGTACTAGTGAGTTATAAGTAGAACCCATAGTTAGAACGAGATGTAAGAGGTAAGTTTGGTTCTAAAACCTCACAAATGACATAATTAGATGATGTGAGGGTTCATAATACAAAGTACATTGCCTAAATGGAAATCGGGTAGGTAACTAGAATACCTAAATGGGAAAAATCTACCCAAAACTTGAACGGATGATCGAAATGGTGATGTACAGATTGGAACACCTTTGAATAAGTTAATATGAAGTGTTAGAAGTGGCGGAAGTCGAAAAAGTCGCGTAGATTGCATTTTATGTAAGTTTTATAATTTACGTTGCTATTTCGGTAAACTACGCGCACAACACTCAAATAGGAGGAGTTTGATAGGATGTTAAGCTTTGGAACGAAGTTTTGGACCTATTAGGAGTCGCTGGAGGTGTCGGAAAATTTTTACGAGATTCCGAGCTTAAAATAAAAAATGACAAAGTTGCAAAAGAAAGCATAGCACCTACAAATATGTAAAACTGCTTTTATTGGGAGGTATTTTCTGGAATACTTTTATTGACAGTTATAGATCATCTTGTTACGAACTCATAGGCGAAAATCTCATTGAAAACGGAGGTCCAAGCGAAAAGTTATGAATTTTTTAATGTTAGGCGGTCAAAATTACAAGAATTAGTTGAAATTATTGGATGAAAGTATGAATGTTTGACTTTTCAAAGTCAAAGTAGCCAAAATGATGATTTTGATGGAAAGAGCTTAGATTTCTGAAGTTTTTATGAAGATTATGCTATTTTATGATAAACATTTGGATTTGGTACAATATGGTGTAGAATTGAGCATGAAATTGTATAAATGGCTATTTTGGGACTTGAAAGTCAATGTTTTTACCCTATTTTAGAAAAAATGTATAAAATCATAGAAAAATCGTATAAAGATGAGTCCAGTGGCATTTGAAAGATATGAGTGTTGAGTTTATTTTATATACAGACGCCATAATATAGTTACAGCTTTAAGATGGGTAAAAAGTTCACTTTGTACAGTGCTGTCAAACTGAATTTTGACGGCCTGTAGCTGCTGTGTTGAAAATTTTGTATAAAATCAAAGATAAATCCTGTAGATATGAAGTCAGTTCCTTTTGAAAGATAATTGAGTCTAATTTAATTCATCTTCAGAATTCATTGATTAATTTTAAGGTTAAGTGGGGTAAAACAGGGCTAGAATACAGTGTTGTAATAGGAAAATTAAAGTATGAAAGTTAACTAGTCATGAGGTTAAACTAAGTTATATGCATCCAATGCTTATGAAACTTAATGTACATACTCAGGGGATGTTTGGAGCTTGTTTGGTGCTTCTGGAAGGTATCTCAGATAGGATCCTTTACACTGCCTTTAGATAGGACCATTTATTGTTTGGTCTTATAAAATGAGTCCTATAGAGTAATCTAATAGGACGTTTTGAAAGTGACGGCGTCCTAAACACTCAATTTCATTGTAGTGGCTGTCAGCGATAGCTGACCCCTTTCAGCGACAGTTGAAGCTGTTCAACGACAGCCTTATACTAACCCTCAGTGACGGCTAACGAAAGCTGAAAAACACAAGACTTGGTGAAATTTCTAAGTCTTTTGCAACCCTGCCATGCGATCTAAGGTGATAGGGGCAACATCTGTAAGTGTGTACTCTGGACCTCGAAACTTATATATGTTTGCCTTCTCGTGTTAATCAATCTCAAGTAAATCACAATTACACCAAAATATTTGATAACACTAAAATCATCAACATACTTGTCACATACCATTTTCAATGAAATTTCACCAACATACCCGATAAGCGCTAACTGTGGTAAGTGTCGTCGCCCTCATTTACCGGGTAAGACTCTCGGTCTTTGCCTTGCTCTTACCGGGTAAGATTCTTGGTCCTTGTCATACTTTTTCGGTAAGGTAACACGACTTGGTAAGCACTTACCCGGGTAAGCGTTTGGTAAACGGCTCCTAAGACATGTTTTCACTCGACTTGATTATTATTGATGAAACAAAAGTGTTCAAATGTTTGGGTTTCTTCTAATTTTGTTGTATTTCTTTTAACTTATTGCAGAAAGTTGTGTTGAAATTGGACTTCTTTAATGAGAAAGTCAAACAAAAGGCCATGAAAAACGTCTCCAGTCTCCCACGTACAACAAAAATATTACATAGCTTAACAATTAACATGAATATTTTCTGTAATATGTCTCACAACTATCTTCCAGTTCAAAAATCCTCAACACGATCAACCAAGAATCAAAGTGTGTAATCGAGAGCATTGAGGGCACCATGCCGATGATGCCCTTTGGGCTTTTGCTGCCCATGGCCGTCACCCTCACGGCCTATAGCCAGGGCCGACCTTGAACATATCCATCGATCATTGAGTTCCATGCAACTGTATCTCGATGAGGCATTTCATCAATTAGATGGTTAAAAATAAATCATATATTTTTTAATCAATAACACGAGCATCTACCTTTTTTCCCTCAAATATAAAACTTAAAATAGCTGCGAAGTTAAGAATTCGAACCATATCACTAAAAAACACAAAAATCATATTTTGAGCGATAAAGTCCTAAACATTTTTGAACCAAAAAAGTACTTACATTATATAAAACTAGAAAGGTACTCGCGTAATGCAGCGAGATACATCTGATTTTAATATTTTATTTTA